GTAGGAAATAAAAGAGCAGGAATAAACCTGAACTCATCACTCATTACCTTAGAAAAAGAATGATTTTAAGACCTGGCAAGGAGAGGATAATCACTGTTGATATTTGGCCTGAAATTCTTAAACACTGACTTTCTCAGAATCCAAATGAAGGAATAGAAAATTGATCATTAAAAAAAAAAAAAAAAAAGGTCATCAAGAAAACCCAGTCTGCATGGTAATTCTTCAGAATAAACAACTCAGTGTTTTCAGCATATTATGGCAAAGGAAAAAAAATATGGAGGTGAACCTATGTATTAAGAGACATCAATCTCAGGATGTAAACTCATTTGGATCTTGAGTTTTAAAATTTTGAAGAATGCATAATGTTTATGAAAAGAATGTGGAAATATGAACACACACTGGATATTTGAAAACTATTGAGGAGACATCGTTAGTGTATTTGGTGTGATAATGGCACACAGTGATTGTGCTTTACATGTCATCCGAAGATCCCTGGGGTTTCTAAGACACTTGCAGGGGATCCAGGAGGTCAAGATTATTTTTAATAATAAAACCTAGACGTTGTTATCCTACTTCATTGAGTTGACATTTACCCTGATGAAGTAAATGCAGTTGGTGGGGGAACCTACTGGATTCCAGACAGTGGCACTGAACTGAACTAGTAGTCATTGCATTCTGCACGCTCACGCAATTGCAGAAATGTTACTCTCACTTAAGAATGGCCTTAATGGAGCAGTAAGAATTGTTAATTGTATTAAGTTTCAACCTTTGAGTGCAACAGAAAGTATGCACAAAGTACTTCTCCTGCACACAGAACCATGATGGTTATCTCCAGGAAAATCGCCTGTGCAGTTGTTTAAGTCGTGAGCTGAACGAACTGCTTTTCTCTTGGAACACTATTTTTACTTGAATGGCTGACAGTCAAAAGAAGGCTGAATGTTTGGCAGACATTTTCTCAAAGATGAATGAACTGAGCTGTCACTTCAAGGAAAACAACTGACTATATTTGTCACCCAATGATAAAATGAGCTTTCAAGTGAAAATTAGAGTTTTGGCAACAACCTGTATCTGCTTCCCAATACTTAAAGCCTTTCTGATGAGACCAGTGGTGATATTATAGTGGTCATTTGATACTATGTACTAAAATATATCAACATTTAAAAGAGCTTCATGACTCAGAGAGCCAGTATTTTTCAAATGACCAAGGCATGATGTTACAAAATCATGCCTGGATAAATGATCTGTTCAGAACTCAAGAAAAACCAAAGGATTTTTTAATATAACAGAGTACAAAATTCATTGATGAGGTCATGTGTTGTGGTATATATTCTCTGCCCCACGGTAATGGCATTTGAGCAAATAAACAAAAATAAAAATTTGTTGTCACGACCTATGAACAAAATACACTGTTATTTATGTGCTTTCGGATATTTGCTCCATTTTAAACAGTCACTATTATTACAGTTAAAATCTCTTTACATCCTATAGCAATGTCATCCAAGCATGTACTTAATGTTGGTGCCAGTGCTTGTTGGAACAGAAGTAGATATTACAACATGCTCAAAAGGAGATTGGACAACCACTAGGATACACTGGGTAGCTAGCTGATTGAGAAGCAAGCACTCTGAAACCTCAGTGGAAAGTCAAAAAAAATTAAATGCAATATTTAAGTTAAAATATATGATGTATTTTTCAAAAAACATCCTGTATATGTTTCCTTTATTCCTAAGGGGAAATTAATAGAAAACAATGTGGTTTTGAATTTTGCAAGGTCTTCAGAAACAGTCCACACACAGAGTTCTCTGTGTTGCTATGCATAATGCTGTAGGGTAATTTATTTTCTGTGTGGGGAAGACTGGGGGTGGGAGATTCTTCCTTCTTTTGGTACATTTCAGTAGTCTTTTTAAAATATGCATAGTTTTTACAAAAATGGGATCACACTCTACTTACTCTTGTGTGAGCTACATTTTTTTCATTTCTGGATGCATTAGACACCTCCCCCCATGTAGTTAGTAGACATTATCATTTTCAATGTCTCGCCAAATTCTATTTACATGTCATACAATTTAGTTTACTTATATCTAAGTGAAAGATTTTTAGATTGTTTCCAATGTTTTGCAAATATAAGCTGCGATGTGAGAACATTCTCGTATGTACATCTTTGTACAATATTAATGACTAACGATAATTTAAAATTTAAAATTTTGATACAATGAAGACTTCAGAAAGATTTTATGTGCTATAGCCCTACCAGGATTGTATAAAAAATATTTTTCCAAATTGTTCCAACCCTGAGTGTCATTATTCTTTTAAATATCAGCCAAACTTATAGGTCAAAATGGTAATACAGATGTTACAGTATTGTTCTTGGATTTTTAGTAAAGAAATGATAAGGAAATATTTTTGATATTCTTTGGGTGAGAAAGTATGACACCAAAGGCAGAATTCATAAAGGAAATAATTGACAAATTTAAGCATAGAGAAAATTAAATTCTGAAAAAATATCATTATAAACAAAGTTAAAGACAAACTGGGAAAATATGTGTGCTACATGTATGTACCCTCTCACCCAAAGAATATAAAGAACACTCCCTTATCATTTCTTTGTAACTATTTTCATAATTTCTACTTTAAAATTTAAATCTTGTATCCAGCTTATACTTAATTCTTCTTTTCGTTAATTGTTCTAATGTACAGTCTTAGGAATCTAACATTTTTTTCTCCAAATTGTTAATTAGTTACCCGAGAATAATCGTGGAATACACTAGTCTTTCACCAGTGCTGTGAATTAATATATATGCCTAAGTCTTTATTTTTTTTTTTTGGAGCTAGTACTAAAAAGATTTCATTATTTTAGCTTTGTAATACATTTTTATATCTAACAATTATTAGTCTCTCTTTTTAGAAAATGTCCTGAGTATTCTGTTTTCCTTCCTGATGAAGTATTGAATTATTTCATTATACAATAAAAATCAAAACAGTGCAAACAATAACTAACAAAAATACCTTGCTGAAATTTAGTAACTTACAGAGTTATGCAATCATCACTTCAATCCAGCTTATTATTCTTTTTAACTCTGATAAAATTTATCACTTTAACCATTTTTAAGGGTGCAATTCAATGGCATTAAGTGCATTCTCAATGTTTTATAGCCATCAACACTGTTTCTTTTCAGAACTTTTTCATCATCCCATGTCTTGCACTCCCAGTCCTTAGTAATTTGTATTCTACTTTCTATGAATTTTCCTATTCTAGATACTTCATGTAAGTGGAATCATACAATATTTCTCCTTTTGTATCTGGCCTATTTCACTTAGCATATCTTCAGGTTTCACTCATGTTGTAGCATGTATCAGAAATTCATTCTTTTTTTTTTTTGCTGAATGAAATATATATTTTTTATATATAGATATTTATCACATTTTATTTATCCATTCTTCTGTTGATGGGCGCTTGGGTTGTTTCCACCTTTTGGCTATTGTGAATAATGCTGCCGTGAACATTGGTATACTAGTACCTTTTGGAGACTATATTACTTTAATTAAAAGCTAATTGCTACCACTACACACCTATTAGGATGCCCCACATCCACAGCACTGACAACACCAAATGCTGGCAAGGATGTGCAGCAAGAGGAACACTCATTCTTTGCTGGTGGGAATGCAAAATGGTATAGTTATTTTGGAAGATAGTTTGACAGTTTCTTACAAAACTAAACATATTCTTACTATATGATCTAACAAAATTGTGCTCCTTATTATTTACCCAATTAACTTATTTTATGTCCACACAAAACCCTACACATGGATGTTTATAGCAGCTTTATTCATAATTGTCAAAACTTGGAAACAATCAAGATTTCTTTCAAAAGGTGAATAGATAAACTGTGGTACATCCAGATAGTGGGATATCACTCAGCTCTAAAGAGAACTGAGCTATCAAGCCCTGAAACAAATATGGCAAAGCCTTAAGTGCATATTAATAAGTAAAAGAAACCAATTTGAAAAGACTTTATACTGCATGATTCCAACTATTTGACATGTTGGAAAAGGCAAAACTGGTGAAAAAATAAGACCAGTGGTTGCCAGGGGCTCAGGGAGGGGGAGGAAGGAATGAATAGATGGGGCACAGGGGATGTTTAGGGCAGTACAACTATTTCGTATGATACTATAGTAGTGGATACATCATTATATTTTTCAAAACCCATAGAATGTACACCACTGAGTGAGCCCTAACATAAACTAAGGACTTTGGGTGATGTGTCAGTGTACATTCAATTGTAACAAATATTCCACTCTGGTGGAGGATGGTGATAGTGGAAGAGGCTATGTATGTACGGGGGCAGGTGGTATATATGGGAACTCCCGGTACTTTCTCCTCATATTTTGCTGTGAATCTAAAACTGGTTTAAAAAGAAAAAGAAAAAGAAAATCTAGTTGCAGCACACAGTACCTTTAAGGCCAATTTTATTTTAAATAATCAGAAAAGTGTGAACTTAACACACTTATTTTTGGAAAGTGAGAGTATGGGTATTTATTTTATACATATATTCTAATTAAAACTATCATAGGCTACCTGTATAATCTTTAAAAGGCAGTATTGGAGGAGCTAGTGGTGGTAAATGACAACCTTAATTTGGGAGAAATGAACAGTCCAAACCAAGAGATTATCTCTGCCAGCGATCATCCAAAGCCCTAAACAGGGAGAAGACGCTCCAGAAAGTCCCAACGCTCTGGCCCCGCAGGCTTATGGGAAATGTAGTCCCGAAGGCCGATGGACCACTCCTCGGAGGACCCTGGGACAGCAAGCATCTGCGCATGTGCAAAGCTGCGAGCGCGCCGCTGGCCGCCCTTCCCCCACCTCTAGCCGCGAGTGGGTGACAGGGCCCCGATTTCCGCGCGCCTTCTCCGCCCCGTGCTGTAACCTGGCCTAACACTCAGCCAAGAGTGGAGACTGTCCCTCCAGGTATGAAGAGGGCTACCAGGCAGCTCGCGGGGCCTAGGGGCCGAAGGAGAGGAGATGAAGGATGGGCTCGTGCCCGCGCAGGGTGGGAGCCCAAACTTCGGCGACTCGCGGGCGACGGTGACCCTCGGGACGGCGTCGGGGGAACGCCTGGCGCTCTCCTCGGCGGGAGGTTGGCAGGGCCCGCCTGGCCGGACGTGCAGGGGCGGAGACGGCGGAGTGGGAGGGCGGCTGCGAAGCTCGCCTTCCTCCCTTTGTCCGGGGAAGTGCCTCCGACGCCGGCAAGGGTCCGGCCGCTGGGGAGGGAGTTCGGAAGTCCAGACGGCCGTGCGCGTGACTAGGCCCCTCGAATACGGGGCGAGCCCGGGGGGCGGGGCCGCACACACCTGGCAGCGCCCGAGTGCCGCGTGCTGTGTCCCGGGTCCTCGCGGTATAGAGGGAGAATGGAAAGCCCCCCGCAACGTTAGTGATGCGCAGACGGGCTGAACGAGTAAGAGCTCTGTCCACTTTGCAAGAACCTTTTCCGTTAAGTGTTCACCTACCCTGGGGCTTTGCTAGTATCTCAGTTTCTGGAGAAGGAATGATGAATGCTCAGAAAGGTGGAGTGATTTTCCCAAGGTTACCCAGCCAGTTGATATTTTGTGATGTGAATGGCAAATCGTTTTTCATTTGCCTTTTGACTTTGCTCACTGGTAGTTTTTGCCATGTAGGCGTTTTGAATTTCTCTGCAGTTGAATTTACTGCCCTTTCCTTTTATGGCACCCAAAAGACTTCATCACTTTGAGATTATACACGTTTTCTTATATTCCCAGTGGTACTTTAGAATTGCATTTTTTAAAAATTGCTGATGCTTTTATTGTGATCCCACTGATGGTTACATTAAGTTAGAGGGAATGTTGGGTCTTATTCTAGGTCTTCCCATGTGTTCAGGTCCTCTTTTGTTTTGACCCCCTACTCAGTATTTTACATTAATGAATGAACTGCATTTTCCTCAATTTTATTCTTTTGTAGGATTTTATTGCTGTTGAAGGATTCTTATTCCATTATTTCATCGTTTTTCTCTTATATTTGTTGATATTTCCCACTTTATTTTGTATGTTTTTCCTTAATTACTGTAACTAATGGTTATCTATATTTATTGCTAAAGAAGAATTCATTAATGTCTTTAGCATCTGTAGTAATGTCTCTGTGATCATTCTTGATAGTTCTAATTTATGGGAATTTTTTCCCCCATGGCCCATTTGGCTAGAGATTCATCAATGTTATTAACCTTTTGAAATAACCAGCTTTTGGTTTCATTGAATTTCTCTATTTCCGTTTTCAGTTTCATTGATTTCTGCTCTTTATTATGCTTGCTTTGGGTTTCATTTCCCTTTTTTTTCCCTCTTGGTTTCTTAAGGTGGGAGGTGGGGTCATTGACACCTTTCTTGTTTTTTATAGAAATAGTTTAATCCTATAACTGTCCCTCTAAATACTGCCGGAACTACATCCCTCGAATTTTTATATATTTTCATTTCCATTAAATTCTGAGTTTTTCAAAACTTTCTTTGTGACTTCCTTTTACCTGTTGTTTATGTAGAAGTTTGTTGTTTAATTTCCACCTAGTTGGGGATTTTCCAGATCTCTTTCTGTTATTAATTTCAAGTTTAATTCTGTTTTTCAGAAAATTTACTCTCGAATTTCAATTCTTTAAAACTTGTGTAGGTTTGTTTTATGGTCAAGAATATAATTGATCTTAGTGAATGTTTTATATGTATTTTAATGACTACTGTGCTGTTGATGGTACAGTCTTCTATAAATATTGATTGAAACAAGGTAGTTGATACTGTGGTTCAATTCTTAATGGTTTTATATCTATCCATTCTGTCCCTTACTGAGAAAAAGAGTATTGAAGTCTCCATCTATAAGTGTAGATTTATGTATTATTTTTCTTTTTCTATCAGTCTTCACATCTTATATTTTGAAGTTTTTTTGTTAGGTGCCTATACATTTAGGATTCTTAGGTCTTCTCGGTGATTTGACACATTTATTATTATGTGATGTCACTCTTTATCCCTGGTTAATATATTCCTTCTGAAGTTTACTGTTATTAATACAGTCGCTGCAGCTTTCTTTTGATTTGTGTTTGCAAGGTATATTTATTTCATCTTTTTATTTTTGACCTAGCTATGTTTTATATTTAAAACAGACTGCTTATATACAGCACATAGTTTGATATTGCTTTTTTATCCAATTTGAAAACCTCTGTCGTTTAATTGGTGTGTTTCTACCAAGTGCTGAAATGGCTGAATGGAAATTGACCATCTTGCAACTTTTTTTCTACTTGTCTCATCTGGTCTCTGTTCCTATTTTACTCTTTTTCTGTCTACTTTTGGATTTTGTGAGTACTTTTTATGATTCCATTTTTTCCCCTCACTATTGGCTTGTCATTTATACCTCTTTTTGCCAAAATGTCTGTGGTTGCCCTAGAGTTTACAATAAACATATTGAGTTAATCACAGTGGACCTTTAAATAATATTATACTATGTAATGTAAGATCCTTAAAACAGTATACTCTCAATTTCATCACCTCACTTTTTGTGTTATCTTCATTTTAATCATCCCGGAGATGTTTATTTTTTTGTGTAGATCCAGATTTCTGTCTGGTTATCATATCCCTCCTATCTGAAGAACTTAATTTTTTTTTTTGTAGTACAAGTTTACAGTAATGAATTCTGTTTTTGTTCGGAAAGGTTTTTATTTCACTTTCACTTTTGAAAGATATATTTGCTAGGTATAGAATTCTGGGTTGATAGTGTTTTTCTTTTTTTGGTTTTTAAAAACACTTTAAAGATGTGAGTACATTGTCTTCTGGCTTGTATATTTTCTGATGAGAAATGGGCTGTGATTGTTTATCTTGGTTCCTCTGTATATAATGTGTCTGTTTTTCCTCTGGTGTTGACAAGACTTTCTCTTTAACTTTGGTTTTCAGTGGTTTGAGTATGATATATCCACATGTGTCTTTGTTTTGTTTTGTGCTGTTTACCCGTTCAGATAAATTATCTGAGCTTCTTGGATCTGTGGTTTGATATCATTCATTATTTTTGGAAAATTTTTGGCCATTACATCTCCAAATACTTCTGTCCCATTCTTTCTTCTCCTTCTGAGATTGCAGTGGCATGTTTGTTAAGTCATTTGATATTGTGCCACATCCCTCAGATACTCTCTTTTTTCCTTTTTTCTTCCTCTTCCACTTTCTCTTTGTATGACCTATCTTCAGACTTCCTGAAAATTTCCTCACTTCTGTTGAGTCTAATAATGAGCCTGTTAAAGATATTCTTTCAGCTCAGTCACCGTGCTTTTCTTTCCTAGCATTTCCATTTGATTTTTTTGCTGGTTTCATCTCTTCTGAAATTCCCTGTTTCTTCATTCATGTTGTCTACCTTAAAGCCTTTAATGTATGAATCATAGTTGTTTTAAATTCTCTGTTAATTTTATTAGTTGAGGAGTCAGTTAACTTTTTCTCTTGATAGTAAATAGTCTTACTCATGTATTTTCAGGTGTCTTATGATGTTTGAGTGAAGGTGAGTGCTGCCATTATGATCCTTTCTGCCCCTTAAGAAAAGGCAAAGTGACTGCCCCAGGAGATGGTATTTTCCTAGGAGATGTGCAGGGATTTCTAAGCAGGTCATTCTAGGAATTTTGAAGTAGGTCAGAGCTTTAATAACAGTACCTTCCTTTTTGCTTTATTCTAGGTCCACTTTCATAATTCTATGCCTTTACCCAAAAGCTAAAGAAAATGAACAAATCCCAGGTGAGTTGTTTTGTTTATTTCCAGTTTTGTTTTTTCGTACATTTGTGGAAGTTTATAAAGATCCAGAAAATGAAACAGCAAAGTATATATGAGTGAAACTCAAGGAAAACATAGGAAGAATAACTGATCAATACCAGCAGCTGAAAAGCAAACCAAGTTAATTAAGTGTCTTACATTGGTTATGAATACTGTTTCTTTGTTCTCTAGCATTAGGTCTGGATAAATTGTATGTATCTTCATTTAGGTTGTGTTTTGGGCAGCATTCCCAGGAATAACCCAAATTTAAAGAATTATCATTTTGTCTGTGGTTATTTCATATAGCATTCTTCAGTGCAAATGCTGGGTTTTATTATGTGTATTTTATTTTTCTAATCAGATTAGCATGATGCCAGAGAACTCAAATAGCTGGGTGTATATTCAGATTCTCCCCTAACTTTCACAAGTATCATTGTTATTCCTCGAGCAGCTTTCCAGAGTTTATTTGTACATATTTACAAAGTATATATATGTAGGTAACTGTATAAATAGCGTATAAATCATACTGTTTTGTTTATATGTGTTTTGCTTTGTTTTTAATTAATAGACAATTTTTTAGAGCAGTTTGGGGTATACAGAAAATTTGAATAGAAAGTACTGAGAATTCCCATATACTCCCTCTACACACAGTTTCTACTGTTATTAACATCTTACATTAATGTGATATGCCTGTTAATAATTGAGAAGCCAATATTGATACTTTAACTAAAGTCCATAGATTACATTAGGATTCGCTCTTAGTGTTGTATATTAGTAATGAGTTTTGACAAATATATAATGACATGTACTGACTATTATAATATCATACAGAATAGTTTCGCTGCCCTAAAAATTCCTATGCTTTATCTATTCATTCCTCCTTCCTCTCCCTAAGCCCCCGGCACCTCCTGATCTTTTTACTGCCTCTATAGTTATGTTTTTACAGAATATCATGTAGTTGGAATTGTACAGTATGTAGTTTTCAGATTAATTTCTTCCACTTAGAAATATGCACTTAAGGTTTCTCCATGTCTTTTCATGGCTCGATAGCTCATTTCTTTTTAGCACTGAATAATATTCTGTTATATGGATGTGCTACCATTTATTTATCCATTCAGCTATTGAAAAGCATCTTGGTTGATTCTGAGTTTTCGCAATTATGGATAAAGCTTCATGTAAACATGTGCAGGGTTTTTGTATGGACATGAAATTACTCATTTGGGTAAATACTAAGAAGTGTAATTGTTAGATTGTATGTCAGAAGTATATTTAGTTCTGTAAGAAAGTGCCAAACTGTATCATTTTGCATTCCCGCCCTCAGTGAATGGGAGTTCCTGTCGCTCTCCATCCTCGCCAGCATTTGGTGTTGTCATTGTTGTGGATTTCGGACATTCTAATAGGTGTGTGGCGGTATCTCATTGTAATTTACGATTCCCTGATGATGTGGTGTGGAACAAATTTTCATGTGTTTATTTGCTATCTGTATATCATATTTGGTGAGGTGACCGTTAAGATCTTTGGTCCATTTTTAAATCAGATATGTCTTTCGCAAAGATTTTCTTTTCCCCCATCTGTGGTTTGTCCTTTTCTTTTTTTGGTTATGTATGTTATTATCACTAGATAACATATCTTTCAAATCTTTCCATAACAGAACAGTTTCGTAATTTTTCCAAATTTTTAAATTCTGTAGTATACTACACGTACAATATTGTAATATTCCTTATGTGTTATAACTATATGTATAACAAATATGTATACATTAAAATGGGCACCCATGTACTTACCCAGGTTAAGAAATAGAACACTAAGCTGATCCTTTTTTTTTTTTTTTTGGTGTCTTTTAAAAAAAAAATTATTTTTCGACTGCAGTTGACATGCAATATTATATTAGTTTCAGGTTTACAACCTTGTGATTAGACATTTATATACCTCACAGAGTGATACCCTGATATAGTACCTATCTGACATCATACATAGTTATTGCAGTATTATTGACTATATTCCCTATGCTGTATTTTCCATCCCTGTGACTGTTTTTATAACTGGAAATTTGTACTACTTACCTTTCTCGTACATCCATGCAACACCCTCCCATCTTACAACCATCAATTTGTTCTCTCTCTGAATTTGTTTCTGTTTTGTTCTTTGTTTGTTTTTTACATTCCACATATAAGTGAATCCATATCCTTTGTTTTTGACTTATTTCAATTAGCATAATACTCTCTACTCCATCCATGTTGTCACAAATGGTAAGATATCATTTTTTTTTTTTTTATGGCTGAGTAATATTCCATCGTACTTATGGACCACATCTTTATCCATTTTTCTGTTGATGGATACCTAGATTGCTTCCATGTCTTGGCTATTGTAAATAATGCTGCAGTAAACATAGATGTGCATATATATTTTTTAATAGTGTTTTGGATTTCTTTGCATAAATATCCAGAAGTGGAATTGCTGGGTCATAGGGTAGTTCTGTTTTTAATTTTTTGAGAAACCTCCATACTGTTTTCCATAGCGGCTGCACCAATTTGCAGTCCCACTAACAGTGCACAAGGGTTGCCTTTTCTCCACATCTTCACCAACACTGGTTTGTTGATTTATTGGTGATAGCCATTCTGACAGGTATGAGGTGATATCTCATTGTCGTTTTAATTTGCATTTCTCTGATGATTAGTGACTTTGAGCATCTTTTCATATGTCTATTAGCCATCCGTATTTCCTCTTTGGAGAAGTATCTGTTCAGGTCTTCTGCCCATTTTTATTTGGATTGTTTGTTTTGTCGAGTTGTATGAGTTCTTTATATGTTTTGGATATTAATCTCTTATCAGACGTATCATTAGCAAATGTCTTCTCCCAATCAGTCGGTTGTTTTTTTGTTTTGGTGATGGTTTCCTTTGCTGTATAAAAACTTTTTAGTTTTATGTAGTCCCATTTATTTATTTTTTCTTTTGTTTCTCTTGCCCAGGGAGATATATCCAAAATGAAATTACTGTTAGTAATATCAGAGAGTTTACTGCCTATGTTTTCTTCTAGAAGTTTTATGGTTTCGGGTCTTACATTTGTCTTTAATCCATTTTGAGTCTGTTCTTGTATACAGTGTAAGAAGGTGGTCCAGTGGTTTTTTTTTCCATGTATCTGCCCAATTTTACCAACACCATTTGTTGAAGAGACTGTCTTTACCCCATTGGATATGCTTACCTCCTTTATCATATATTAAGTGAGCATACAGGCATGGATTTATTTGTGGGCTCTCTGTTCTGTTACATTGATCAATGTATCTGTTTTTATGTCAGTACCATGCTGTCTTGATTACTGTAACCTTGTAGTGTAGTTTGATATCGAGTAGCGTGATACCTCCAACTTTGTTGTTCTTTCTCAAGATTTGCCGTGGTTATTAGGAGCCTTTTATGTTTCCATATAAATGATAGGATTATTTGTTCCAGCTCTCTGAAAAATGCCATTAATATTTTGATAGGGATTGTATTGTATCTATAGATTGCTTTGGGCAGTATGGCCATTTTAACGATGTTGATTCTTCCTACCCATGAGCACTGTATATGCTTCCATTTATTTGTATCTTCTTCAATGTCTTTTTTCAATGACTTTTAATTTTATGAGAACAGGTCTTTTACCTCCTTGGTTAATTTGATTCCCAGGTATCTTAATTGTTTTCAATGAAATTGTAAATGGGATTGTTTTCCTAATCTCTCTTTCTGAAAGTTCATCATCGATGTATAAAAAGGCCACTGACTTCTGAATATTAATTTTGTAACCTGCCACTGTACTGAATTCATTGATAAGTTCTAACAGTTTTTAGTGGAATCTTTAGGGTTCTCTGTATATTATAGTATCATGACATCGGCAAATAATGAGAGTTTTACTTCTTCCTTTCCAATTTGGATGCCTTTTTTTTTTCTCTTTCTTGTCTTATTGCTGTGGTTAAGACTTCCAATACAATGTTGAAGAGGAGTGGTGAAAGTGAGCGTCCTTGTCTTGTTCCTGATCGTAAAGAAAATACTTTTAGCATTTCACCATTGAGTTTGATGTTAGCTGTTTGTTATATATGGCCTTTATTATGTTGAGGTACGTTCCCTCTATTCCCACTTTGCTGAGAGTTTTTATCATAAGTGGATGCTGGATTTTGTTAAATGCTTTTTCCGCATCTATCGATATGATCATGTGGTTTTTATCTTTTAATTTGTTAATGTGGTGTATCACATTAATTGATTTGCAGATATTGTACCAACCTTGCATCCCAGGAATAAATCCAACTTGATCATGGTGTATGATATTTTTAACGTATTGCTGAATTCGGTTTGCTAATATTTTATTGAAGATTTTTGCATCAATGTTCACAAGAGATATCGGCCTATAGTTTTCTTTTTTTGTAATGTCTTTGTCTGGTTTTGGAATCAAGATAATGGTGACCTCATAAAAGGAGTTAGGGAGGCTTCCCTCTTCTTGAATTTTTTGGAATAGTTTGAGAAGAATAGGTGTTAATTCTTCTTTGAATGTTTGGTAAAATTCTCCTATGAAGCCATCTGGTCCAGGACTTTTGTTTTTTTGGGGAGGTTTTGATTACTGATTCTATTTCATTGGTGGTAATCAGTCAGTTCAGATTTTCTGTTTCTTCTTGACCCAGTTTTGGGAGATTATATGTTTCTAGGAATGTGTCCATTTCTTCCAGATTGTCTAATTTGTTGCCATATAATTAATTGCTCATAGTATTCTCTTATGATCCTTTGTATTTCTGTGGAGTCCGTAGTTATTTCTGCTCTTCCATTTAGGCTTTTATTTATTTGAGTCCTCTCTTTTTTTTTCCTTGATGAGTCTGGCTAAGGGTCTGTCAATTTTGTTTATCCTTTCAAAGAACCAGCTCTTGGTTTCATTAATCTTTTGTATTTTTTTTAGACTCTATTTCATTTATTTCTTCTCTAATCTTTATTATTTCCTTCCTTCTATTCACTTTGGGCTTTGTTTGC